TAGCTAGGCCAAACTGCTCACTTAGGGTGGCGGGAAGCAGAATGCACCCGAAGACACACACCCTGTGACCCATAGCTGACTGTGTCTAATAGCATACCTCTAACAGCACATTCATCTGAGATCTTGGGAGAGCACCCCATGATCCAGTCCTGTCTCCAGTAGTCTCTTGAACCAGTCAAGGTGGCAATCACAGCAAGAAATCCAGTCCTTGTCTTCTAGTAGCAGCTCAAAAATGAATGCAGAGATGTACACCTACAAAGCTTTTTTTCTCCTCCTTCTCTTTCTCTTCTTCCTCCTTGTCCTCTTCTTCATCCTCCTCCCTTCTCCTTCTCCTTCTTTTTGGTGGTACCTAAAAAAGAACCCAGGAGCGTTGTATAGAGATACGCCCCTAACCTTTTTCACAGTGAGATAGAATCACAATAAATCACTTAATAGCCCAAATAGGCTTGAATTTTTTGTTCTTTGGCCTCAGGCTCCCAGATTACAGGTGGAGTGTAATGCTTGAACTGGATTATATGGCCAACACCTTTCACAGTCCTGAGCTCAGTAGTTCTCAACGTGAGGTTTAGGACCACCAGCATCTGCAGCACTCTAGAACGTGCTAGAAATGCAGATTCCTGGTTCCACTTCTGAACTGATGACTACTCAGAATCCCACATTGCAGGAGGAGGTAGTGACTTGTGGCCTCATAATTCCCCAGGCAGTTCCAATGCTCAAGTCTGGGCACCAGAGCTTTGGCTCCTCGGCCCCACAATAACCTTATTAGGCAGGAGGAAGCAAGGAAGCTGTTATTCTAGCTCTAGATGGGAAAGGTAGATAAGGTACCATTTGAGAAGGAGACTGAGTCTCCTATGAACATTTAATCCCCTCCTTCCTTGAATTTTGGTTTTATGGTGTGTACACTAATTTGTTCCCTTGTTATGCACCAAACCCACATTCTCATTGAGTGCAGCTGTATTCTCAATTTCCCCTTGGCTCCTGCAAAAGAAATAGGAGCTGTGCTCTTCCCCTGGAGGATACCCACCTACCCGACCTGGTTCTGTGCAGGTTCGTGCCCATTCACCCAGAGAACTGGCATTCTTTACCCTCAGGAGCAGAGGTCAGTGGTTGAGAGGCATCTGGTCCACACTCACCGGAACAGAGGTCCGTGTTCCTCCAGCTTGGATGCTGTAGCCACCAGCTCCACCCTTACATAGGTCAGGCCAAAAGACCCTAAACCAAAAATGAGCAGAGTAGCCCATGACAAGGCATTGATCCCTGTGGAGAAGTGTCACTGCAAATGTGAGGAAGTTTAGAGGAAAGTCCAGGGCTGAGTTCTGAGAAGGAAAGAAATGCCTTTTGGAAGATGTGAGCCCACCTGCTGGGGTCTCAAGAAAGGACTATGTCCAGAAGTGGGGTTCTCTGGATCCTGGCCCCTGGATGCTGTGTTGCTCCTAGGTGTCATCTGCTGCTTCTCTGTTGCTCTCAGCTTCCATTCCTCCTAAGGCTTTTGTTCACCTTTCTGGTGTCAATCAGTCAACTAAAGAAACAGACACAAATTAGAAGTCGCAGGGTCTCCTCCATGTGCTAAAGTCACACTGACTTCTTCACGGGCAGATTTTTCTCTTATTAAAGAAGATAGAACCAATAAGCTGCCTCTCGGTGGTCTCTGCGTTGTCTTTAGACTGAGTTTGTGCAGTCACTGGCTGCCACGGCCCCCTTCTCCCAGCCAGGCGGCTCCCAGTCACAGCGGCCCCCTTGGGAGCCAGCGCACAGTCCTGGGCAGAATCTCCTCTGACTCCCTCCTTGCCGCTTCTAAATTGGTTTTTCTAAAACCCTTCGACTTGGTGTGTCTGCTAGGATCAGGAGAACAATAACCCCTTCTCCTTCACTCTGTGCCACACAGAAGGGTGTTTGGTGACAAAGGCTGCTCCCTGGAGAATTTCTGTGTGAGCAGTGATGACTTCATCCTGCTCAGCACAGCACCTTTCTTTCTGATTACCCCTGATGTCACCATCCTCAGGTGAGGAGGATTCCATTCTTATTGTGTGGCCCTAGAATAGAGACAAGGTATTGCACCTTTGAACTTGGCCTGTATAGCTCAACCAAAGCAGATTGGCTTTGGTGTTAAAATAGGACCCTATTAATTTAAAAACAGTGCTTGTGGATAATAGCAGAGGAAGATACGTGGAGAAGAACTTGGAGCCAGGTGCTCTTAGCGATGAGTTATGACATCTCCCCCACTTTACGGCCCCCTCCGGAAACAGGTCTCCAGAGCAAATGCTCAGATGTGAAAAATGACGGAGCAAGATTCCAAAGTGCACACAGGGCAGAGATGCTCTTTCCTGACTCTGCTTCCCACCACTGAGTCCGTTCAGTGATGTAGGAATGAACATGTCCCCCAGGGCCAGCCAGGCCCTAAGCGCCAGTCACATGGCTAGAATTCAATGTGGATGGTGTGGTGCAGAGTATAAGGCTTCTCATACCAGTGTCTGCACAATCATTCTGTACAGTAGCAGCAGCAGGACAGTGTTCAAGAGGAGAAATGCAGCGGGACCACTTTACAGGCTGTCACAGCAGTATAACTACATTGTGTCACACTTTGGTGTCCTGGGATTAGGATGTTGTTTACAAAGTGACCAAGGGGAGCTATGGGGTCTTCATTTTGGCCTTGAGACTGACAAACATGTTCTGACACAGGAGGTCTGGTTGACACAGGAATCAGCGTACCTTCCATCCTCATGCCCAGGTGAGCACTGTAAATTGCAGTGATCCTCTGCCCCAGGGGTCTTTTGTCACATAGCGAGTCAGGAGATTCTAACTTTTCATATCAATGTGCTATGGCTCTGCAGTCAGATCCCAGGATACAGACCTTCGTCCTCCCTTCTGCAGCCTGTGGCTGAGTGGGTGAATATGGAGAGCTCAGTCAACAGTGACTGGCTCCTGGGAGAAGGCAATGAGTATGGAATGAGCTGGCCACTTGATTCTGCAGGGCACTCCAATCTACTGGAAACCCAAAACCTGAATCCTGTGTCCATTCATTCTGGAACAGTAGCAGCAAATTCTCAAGGAAAAATAAATGCAATGGACCTTTTCAACCAAAAGGAAAAGTTGGTTAGTGAATTTCAGCTGTCAAGTGTCAACTCCACTTGCACAAGGGCATTGAGAAAGCTGGAACAAAAAGGGGAAACCCCAGTGTGAGCCAAGGAAAACTTTCTGTACCCTCAACAGCGTCTGTCCCTTCCCCACAGCCATCTCACTCCACGTCAGACTCACCAGAGCCCTCACTGACCCCCGGTACTTGGTCCAAGGGCTTCTCTAACTGGGGCTGTAGGTCTGAAGCCTGCTTGCCAAGTGCCCCCCAGCAGTGCCCTGTGGGATTTCACCTCCACGCCCAGCTGCCTGGGCTCTAACTGACCCCCTTTGATGCTCCTTGACCCAGAGAAAATAATAACACCTTTCTCAATTCAGCTTCCCAGTCTGTAAAATGGGACAATCATAAATCCTACCAGAAGGAATGGTTCAAGACCAAAGTAAGTTGAAAAGCCAAGAACTGCCTAGTATGTGGTAAGCAATTATGGATTGATATGAAGAGAGAAAGAAACAGGCTAGCCCTACTAGACAAACTAAGTTAAGAAATGCTGGTCTTCACCTAGGGAACTCTTTAGATTAATTCTCAGTACTGGAGTTCTGGAACCATCCTTGAGAAAGGTGTCCCCCTTCTTCCTGACTAGAAAGATGTCTGGTGATTGACTAAGAAAGCCTAGAACTCCTACCCCTTTGTCCATATGTCCAGGAGCCCTGCATTTTTCCTGACCTCAGTGAATATCTGCTGCGTATATCCCATGCTAGGTACTCAGTCACAAGCCGCATTGTCCACAGCAGGCAGCAGAACCCGGTGTCCACGTGAGCTTGATGGTTTGGGTCATCAGCATTCTTCCTCCCTGCCTGCCTCTGGGTGCCTGCGCACTCTCTCCTTGCTGACTTGATAGCTGGTTTCGTCTTCCTTCTTATCTCTGGGCTCTTTGCTGGTCCCAGACCACTTACCGGGGCTCTTCTGTTCTGGGCCTCTGGTCTTTTTCCCCTCTTTGATGTCCCTTCTGACACCCACCGCCTGTTTCTTACTAGGCAGTGTCCCCAGGAAGGTGACCTTACAGCACTACCATGGCAGTGGCCCTCAGTGGAAATGCTTATTAGAAAGCGTGCATCTCTTTTTAATATGCATAGTTACTGTAATAGGAATGTGGCATTTCCATGTTAACAATGATGTTTCTGTGGTCTAATAAATCTCCTTTCTCACTCCTCTCCCAAAGGAGAGGAGATGTTGTTTGCAGCAGCTCAAGGTTCCCACTCTCCCTAAGCTCTTTGCCCATCAGCCAAATCACTGGGCTGCAGAAAACCACAGTAACTCAGATAGCCACAAGCTCCCCAGGAGATTCGATGCAATGATTGGGGGAGGAGTCTCAGGGAGGGGTTTTCAAGAGGGAAAGTGCACCCCAAAGTAAGAATGATGGGAAACTCCCAAAGCATCTTTGGATGAGTTGTGTGACTACAGGCTCATTGCATCTCTTAAGACTCAGTGTTCTATCTGAAAAGCTAGGCTTGTGACACCAGAGTGCACAGAACTGCTGTGTGGACCAATGGAGAGCATAGATTGAAGGCAGTGAAAACAACAAAACCTGGCAAGAACAGACACTTCACAGATGGCCTATGTTACACCCAACCGTGCGCACTTAAGTCCCACTGATACCGGATAGGCATCCATCAGTGTGGGCAGCAGTCTCAGAGCTGGGACTCACCAAGTACCTGACATGGTGATTCTAAGGGTTGTCAGAGTTCTCCAGCCTGGGCAGCAGCCAAGCCGAGCCCCAGTCAGATCGGTATGCCCATGCAGCCATTCCTATCTGCCTGGGCCCTTCGTAGAGCTGCTTACAGGTACGTAGAGAACATGAGCTCAGGCCAAAGTGTCATTAGTGCAAACAGCTTTCCCATCCCATCAGACTCCTCTTTTCTCTCTGCAGCACTCTCTGCGGTATTTCATTATGCATCGACACCTCATGGCAACACACTAGCACCTGACCCAGGGACATCCTATACCACCGTGCCAGCGCCTGATGCAAGGATAGCCTTTCCCACAACAATGGATATCGCCATTATTGCAGGTGAGCCCGCATGAAGGTCCCTTCTGGCAACTGGGAGAGGTCCCAGGGAAGAACTGGCCTGAGAGTCCCATGATCAGCCACCTCCTTCTTCAGTGGAGGCTTTGACTGTGGGGTGGAAGAGTCCTGTCCTAAGAAATGCTCAGCATGGTGCCTGGCACAGAAGATGGAAGCATGCTGAGGGCAAGAGAGGCCACGACCACCAGGGCAGGAAACACGCTCTCTCCCCACCTTGATCCTAGCTTAGTAACAGCTCATACAACTAAAAGAAAAAGCCAGAGGCTGCAAGAAGCCATCAAAGGCACCTGCTCAATTTTATTTAACCCAGCATTTCTCCTGCTCACTAGACCCTGGGCCTTTTCTTCTTTGATACCATTATTAACATTGAACCTACACTAGTTCCTCTAAGAAGGACAAAGAAAGCTGAGGAAATTCTTCCATAAAAGTGTGATGTGGAGCAGTTTTAGCCACACCACATTCTCCAATAACTTCTCCCCAGAGTCCCCTGAATAAACCCAATTCCAAGGAAAGATAGAGGCTTATTCTGTAGCCTCAAAGCAAATGGCCAAAGTCAACCCTGCCCTGAGCCTGCACCCTTCAGGCCTTCCTGAAACTGCCCAGTCTCAGTGCCTTGCCCCATCACTCCCAAAGCCAGGCATGATCTGACAGTTTGTGACCTGCCTCTGCCTCACTCCCCTGCCCTCTCCCTGTCCCAGCAGACCCAAGCTGTTGACTGGCTCCGTGGCCTCGGTAAGGCCAAGTCCACTCCTGCCTGACTCCAGAGTAAAAGGCAGCAGGCAGAGTGAGGGGCACCTGTCAAAACTACACTTCCCACCCCCTAGCCCAGGCCCTGTCAGAAACCCTGGTCATTTTATCCCTTTGAAGGTGCAGAGAGCAGACACCTCTTGTCAGTTTTCTAGTTTTTGCCCAAAACGTATGTCCCAGAAAACCCCCAGGTGAGATCATCTGAAGAAATTAAAGTTCAGCATCCCCCAAACTGCTCAGTTCATGCCAAGCCACGTATCTTCACCGGCCAATGGCACATCCCACAAGGCTCTTCCTCAGTAGAACGAGTGCCTCCAAGTGGTGACCAGTCCTGGGCTATGGTTGTGCCCAGCAGTGCGCAGATAGAGGCAGGTAGGGGAAAAAGCAGGAGGAAGGGAGGGAAGAGGAGAAAATAGATGCTCTGAGATGACTAGGAGGGAGAAGCACAAGATGGGAAGCAGATTGCCAGGCTGGGGTTGATGCCATGGCAGCAGCGTGACTGTCTTGTTGACACGGCTCCTGTGGGTCCTGAAACCCCAAGGAACCTGCCCCAGACTGACCCCGAATGTCTTCCTTCCCACAGCTGTGATCACCGCTGTGACCCTCGTCCTGCTCTGCCTTCTCCTCGTCATGCTCCGATACCTGTTCCGGCACAAGGGCACCTATCACACCAACGAGGCTAAGGGCACGGAGTTCGCTGAGAGCGCCGATGTGGCCTTGCAGAGTGACCCTGCCCTCCAGGATGCTGGTGACACCAACAAAAAGGAATATTTTATCTGAGGGAAGACAGACCTCACCTCCCCCATAGACTTCCTCTAAGTGCAGAACGGGAAACACGCCTCCCACCATTACTGGCACCACCAGGCAGACCTCAAGGGCACAGCCTCTTCCTGAGATTTGCACCTGAGAACAGTGGGTGCCTGCGGGGGTGGGGGGTATGATGCCCAAGCTGTGAGACACCTCTCCAGGGATGCATTGGCCACCCCAGGAGGCAAGCCTTTGTTCTGCCAGGAAGAAAGTTCAGATCTCCAGGTCTCCCTGAGTGCTGTTGGATGCCATCTCACAGGTGTGAGTTGGGTGGTGATGCAAGGAAGCATGATGTCGACGGACTGACTCAGGATAATTGCATCAAATGTCAGTCCTTGACATTTGGGGGAACAGCAGGTGCCTGAGCTAAAAGGTACCTTTGTTTCCCATTAATCCTGCTCAAAAATGATTGGAAATAAATATGAAATGTAACCAAGCATTCAGAGTCCAACTGCAATTACCTGGGAAACCGTGCTTGCTTTTTGCCCTGCTGTGATTTTGTTTTCTCTGACAGGATTTCTGTGCATGGAGCTGGGACTGTCTAGTTCTGGCAAGCAAACAAGAACAAGTGACTGGTCCCTTTACCTGAGGGTTCCAGCTGCATGAAGCTAATGGGAGGATAAAGTGTTCCTCTGGAAATAGATTGTCCCAGGGATCAAGGCACCAGTTGAAGTGTTGGATTTCCTAATTCGTAGTATCAGAAAAAATGGACCAGTTAAACAATTACGTGTGTACCCTATACATCCATAGTCACAGTGACAGTGACCCCCAGGGCTCTGAACATGGGCTGCAGAGCCGCAGTCCCTGGGTTTAGATTCTGGATCAACTTTGCTGCTCTTGGGACCTGAAGCAACTTGCTTGACCTCTCTGGCCCCAATGTGCTCGTCTCTCAAGAGGAAATGATGCCAAGAATGGTACCTCTGTGGTACCTAACTCACAGCATTGAGGGCAGGAGTAAATAGACATGTCAGGTACTGAGCGTTCTCTGTATCCAGTGTCACACACCGAATGGTGTGCATGTATTGGTTGATGAAATTTCCTCATTGAATCACTTCTAAGTGCCTAATTAGGAATAACTGTCACTTAAGATGAATAACAGAGAGAGAGAAAATGAACTCATTAACCATCTCCTCTCAGGTGAGTTTTTGGAAGATTCCCAACAGCTCAACACTCAGAGATCAGCAGCTGATTAAAGATGACCCAGAGATTAAAAACCACCTGGGAGCACCAGGTTTGCTTAGAGACCCTCTGCTTATTGAGGCTGCACCATCCCCACCTAAGAGTCAGCAAAAGTCAGCCTCTTGTTTTCCCTAAAAAGTTAATTAGGATCCAGATGCAGCTGGAGATGGTCCCCAGGAAAAGGAGCTAGAAGTCCTGGAGAGATCTTGGGGGAGAAGCAGAGAGAGCTCAGAGGGGCTGATAATGGCAAGAGCGTGGTCAGATGCAAGGCCATTCTCCACCCGAGCCCAGATCACTCCTGACCCTCCCTTCCTCATTTATGCAGTAAAAGACTGGGCAGCAGTAGTCACCCCTTCTCTGAGGGCTATTTGTTCTGAGATCCCTAGTGGGTGCCTGAAACCAAAGATAATACCAAACTTTACATATGAGAAGTTTTTTGTTTCATTTTATATACCTAAATTTTAATTTATGTATTAAACAGTAAAAGATTAACAATAATAACTAATAGTAAAGTAGTACAAGTATAAACTGTAATAAAAGTTACTTTAAAATAATGAATTGTTTATTTTTGAATTTTCCACCTAATAGTCTCAGACCGCAGCTGGCCATGGGTAGCTAAAACTCTAGAAAGTAAAACTGCAGGCAACGGGGCACGACTGCATACCACTGCATCTCAGATCTTCAGAACGCCAGCCCGGTAATATAATTATGGAATAGCGTGAAGAAAAGGGTGTTCTGTGTGCAGGTAAGTTTAAAAAATGACATAGTTAAACCAGCACAGAACTTCTAGGTACTGTCACTAGTACAATGTAAAATTCGGCTCCGAAAGGAAGGAGCAAAACAATGCAGCAGCCTCCAAAGCTGCTTTCCCAGAGACCTCATTGCCTTACAAAGTGCCTGTGACAGCCTGCAGCATTCCTTGGAACACATTTGGGAAAAGCAAAGTGACTTCTAACATCGCTTCCTGTTGTGATGTCACTTCTGGATTTTGAGAGGCACCAGCCTTGTCCTTGAGATTGAATCGGTGCCATCTCACATTGACTCACCTGTGTTTGGAAAAGGTTCCAAGAACACAGTAGTCTCTGAGCCCCTCACCTCCCTGAGGGCTGATGTCCACCTGGAACAGGATGCTGGCCACGTCCCCATCTCCCTCTGTGCTGCCTGAGACTGGCCCACAAGCCAGCTCCCTGTCTTCCTGCCTTACCTTCCTCATTTCCTCTCATCCTCATTCCCTTTGCCTGCCCTGAGTCCTGGGAAGGCTATGGAAACAGCCTGCTCCCTAACCTGTGGAGAACCGGCCCCAGCCAGGGTCAGGCTCAGCAGTAGCAGTGACACAAGCTGGAGGGATAGGTCATCTAAAGTGGCCCATGCCAGATGCCAGGAGAAGTTATAGGTCAGATGGCCACATAAAAGGGTACAATGACCTAATGGCATGGTGCACATGTGTACACACACACACACACACACACACACACACACACGCACACACACACATGCAAATAATGTCCCTCCTGTTTAGGAAGCAGCATTCTTTATCTTGGATCCCTTGTCTAGCACTGCACCTTGAGTCATTATGCAGTATGTGTGCAACAAATGTCAGTCAGGGTAAATATGCACAGATACACACATTGATGCTTCCAAAAACTGTTAAGGAGGAAAGGGAACTAGTACATGAAAAAGCAGAGAGAGAGGATAAGAGAGTCTGGGAGAAGAGAGAAGGGCACTCGGCACACTGAATAAATCCTGGCTTCTTCACACACGAGCCTCCTATGACCCTCACTTAAGTCAAGCAGCCTGATAACCTCATCTGTTCCCTAGGTCAGTAGAAACTAAGTTTCATGAAGGCTGAGGGGTCCTGGAAGTCACACCACCACTAGTGGAAGATGGAGTGCTCAAATCAGACCTGCCTGCCCTTCTCCCTTAAGCAGGAACTTCTGGGGAGCAGAACAGGAGAACCAGGACTCCCGAATGCAGGAGTGGCTGATGAATAGTGGGGTGAACACCCAGGCCAGGCTTGGGCCATCCAGCAGACTGGCCCCATGTAGTCTGGGCTCCTGTGCTTCCCACCCCTTCCCTGCTAAACGCTGGCCTGGTATGAGAGACCACTCTGCACGGTGGGAGCAAATGGGTTGCCGGCCTTAGCAGGATAGCAGAAAGGTCAAGTCAGCAAATGCTTAAGGCCAGTCTCTCCTCATCCACATTACAAGTCATGAGAGGCCGGCTGTCCAGGCTGTTCCTGTCAAACAGAAAATGTTTCTCTAGGTGACTTCATGGCAAAGTACCTGTACCAACCCTTCCAGGATAATCTATACATCTGAAAGTGGTCATCCTCAGAGTCAGAGTATAGATGCTTCTGACCGCTCCTCTATATCACATCCCTGTAAGCACACCACGAACTGAAGATATCATAAGCTCTAAATTTCAATGTACCTAACTTACCAAACATAACTTAGCCTAGTGTTGTGGCCTAAATAGATGTCCCCCCAAAGCCTCATGCCCTCGATGGTGGGGCTTTGGGAAGTGTTTATATCACAGGGGTGCTAGACCTTGGGTGTGTGATACTGTAGGATTCCACTGATTGGTTTAGCATAGTTATGGGGACAGAAGATGGATTTACTGAAGAGGGAAGCCCCACCCTGAGTGTGGGGAGGCCCCAGCCAATAGACTCATAGCACGGATGGAATGGAAAGGGGAAGCAGAATGAAGGTAACCCACTTCCCAACTGCTGTCCCCTTCATCATGCCACCCTGCCTGAAAACCATTTGACCATGGACTAAAACCTCTACAAATGGTGAGCCACAATGAACTCCTTTAACTTGTGGGTATCAGGTATTTCATCTCAGCCACAAAGAAAATGGTCTAAGACCATTCAATCCCACTTAAAGTTTCTCAGAATATTTGTTCTACCCTGTATAATTGAGCAAAATTATATAACACAAACCTAATTTATAATAACATACTAAGTATTTCATCTCATTCATTGAATCTGGTGGTAAAAATAAAAATCAGAATAATGGTATAGATGTCATTCCCCAACTTTGTAGAATCAAAGACTCCTGAGTCAAATTACCATAAGTCAGAGACTTATTTAGTGATATTTATGTGTGCTCATGGTATGTGTGTTTGTGTGCACAAACATTTACCAAGTGCTCATGTGAGTGTGAGATTTGCATAGCAGGCGATAGTGGTTTCTGCTTTAAGGGGATCAGTGTTTGGTGGAGAAGACAAAAATGCAAATTTATACAGTTGTGAAGAGTTGAAAACACTGGAAGTAAAATGATACAGACAAATCTGTAGGTTGTAAAGGGAGACAGCAGTGCTACCTGGGGAATGAGGTGGACAGGAAAGTCTTCAGAGAGGAAGGGAGGGCTTGGGCTGTCTGGAAAACAGACCATAAAGAATGCCAGGACCCACACCAAGAAACTGGGATTAGTCAGATGGGCAATTGGGACCCCTGAAGAATCAAGTCAGTCTCTGTCATTAGGACAAGACAGTGATCAAATTAACAAAGATTTTAAAAAATTAACCAAGATACAAGATGAAAATTTGCCATGGAATTTTAGAAAATTTTGGAATTTCCAAAGGCTGATCAAGATTTCAACTCTGGCCCCAGAGCTGGAGACCATCCCCTCCTACCTCCACCACCTCCACTAGAGCTTACCTGCTCCTGCTACCCCGCTGTTTAGCTTGGATTTCACATGACTCCATCCATCCTGCCTGCTGAGAAATGCATCTCATCTGTTCTCCAAAAGAAAGGACAGCAGGTCAGGGCTTTGAGCCAAGCATTATGTAAATACTAGAGAAGAACTGTTTTGTCATTTTTTAATGGAAGGAACTTCTGATGATTTTATCTTGTTTATCCTGCTTGTTTTTTTTTTTTTTTTTTTTTTTTCCTGAACATTTTTATCATCATAGTAACACGATGACTTCAGGCTAGCAGGATTTTCACAGGCCCAGTGCCAGGAACAGAACTACAGGCATTTTAATATTTGGAACATGACACATCAACATGGTGTTAATGGAAAGGACATGGTTCTGGAATCAGAATCAGACAAAAAAAATCTCACCTCAGGTGCTAGCTAGCTTGTGACCTAGGAAAAGTTACTTAATTTTGCCACAGAGGGGCTGGGGATTTAGCTCAGCGGCTTAAACACCTGACTTAATTTTGCCACACTCTTCTCATCACCAACATGACAATCAAAATGTTTGAATTTTAGTACACCAGAATATTTATTTAAATAAAGAGATAAGTTTGCCTATAACTCCAGAGGGACTGAGATTATGTTTTGTTTCCAAGTGAGCAAGTGGGCCTGTACTGACCAAAGAGGTGAGATGGAGGTATGTGAACCTCAATATACGTGTATCAAATCACCTGGCTCCCAGGTCCTACAGGATGATATAAATCACCTCAGAGAAGCTCGCCCTAATGGTAGATTAAGTTCCAGAAGAAAACCACGAACAAAAAAATACCAGAATTCCTTTAAATGCCCAGCATGCCCAGCTTTTGCTCTAGGCGGAATACACTACCTCTGCCTTCCTAGACTGCCTCATATGCACATATGCAAATATTTCACAGGAAAGATAGGTCATAACAATGGGCCATGCCCACCTCACTTACCAGATGTGAAAAATAGGAGCGGCCATGAAAAATCATCTCCACAGAGAAGACACATGTCAGCATGTGAGCACCTAATACTACTGGAACAAATGAGCATTACATTAAGCCCCAGCAATGTGCCGAATAACTAAGTTCATAGACCTGGGAAGTATTCCAACCTTCTTATCAGAAAATCAGAAATGTTAGCCTTTTGGGTCACATAAGGGGATTTTTAAATTAGGAAATTTTTCCCATCCCTTCATTAGCATATAGCTGCAAGTTTGGTTGTTTGGATTGGTCTCCAATCACAGGAATTTGTGCAAGCTGCAGCTGCAGGAAAGTCTTAGCTTCCTAAGTCTGGAGCCTGGCAATGAGGTTGGGTGGAGCCTTCTTCAGCCAAGATTGCCTGAGATCATGGGGTCTCTCTTGCCAGTGAAGACCTCAACTTAATATACTCAGACCTCTCACTTTTCAACTTCCAGCCAAACGCACTAGCCAACTTTTATGTTTCCAATAGCTGAACTTTTTCTTTTCAAGTCAAAAAGTGTTGAGGGGTGTATTCAGCCCTCTTAGATCTCAAGCATACTCCAGGCCTTCTGAGACACCCTGAGTCAGGCTGCCCCTGACTCCAGAGAAAGAAAGTTTCACTCACAGCTGTTGTGCACTGGGCATTGTCTTCTTCAGTGACAGTGGGTATGTTATAACCAGAGGATAGTGAGCACCCAGGCAGCAAATCCCTCCATTCTTTCCTTCATGCAGTCTACCAACAAAGATTGTCTGAGGCTACATCACTTGGTAAGCACAATGCCAGTGACATAAGACTGAGCACAGCCTTACCCCACCCTGGAGAATGCTCCCTACCAAAGGACATGTGCAAAAATGGCTCCAGTCAGCCAGGGGCCCATTGAAGGCCCATGATCTAATCCATTGGACCTCATGATCTAAATCCAATGAAGG